AAGGAATATTGACAACTGATTACCGCTAGATGAGGAACAGCTGACCCTCCTAAAACAAAGACCTCTAGATAGGCTGACTAGATTCAGATGGATAAATAGTGGGGAATGGCTGGGGTTGCTGACAACACAGCAGACAGTAGCAGGGATAACGGAGTATAAGGACTCTAGTCGGGGGAGGGAGGCTACAGGAGGGTGTCATCTGAGAAGTGAGTATATAGTTGAATAAGATGGTTTGGGATGTTCTGTGTGATACACACACACACACACACACACACACACACACACACAAATCAACAAATTAAAAAAAAAGAATTACATTTGAGGAGGAAGCATAAAAATTTACATCATAGCCAGGCATGGTGGCTCACGCCTTTAATTCCAGCACTCTGGAGGCAGAGGCAGGTGGACCTCTGTGAGTTCAAGGCCAGCCTGGTCTACATAGTGAGTTCCAGGACAGCTGGGGCTACAGGGAGACCCTGTCTCAAAAAGACCCCACCCAAAAAAATTTATGTCATGTTAATTAGTAGAGGTGATAAACATTACCATTGAAATCTACCTGATGACTTTATAGACATACACAGGTGCCAAGGATCCTAGTGCAACCGATTATGACTACTAGTAATCAGATACATACAGATGAGAGACACATGTGCCAACATCTCAGCGTTATTAGCAAAAACAATGAGTCTTTCTGTAAGAAACAGTATATTTTAAAATGAAATGGAGATCTTTTTTAAAGGTTAAAAAGACGCTGTCTCAAAAAGATCAAAATAAATAAATAAATAATAAATAAATATGCTTCTCCTAAAACAAATAAATAAATAAATAAAATTTTTAATTAAAAATAATAATAATAAAAGTAAAAAACAAAAATTCCCCCCCCCAAATTGCCTGATACATTTTGTGGTAAAATTTTAGTTGTGTCATGGTATTATAATTGCATGTGAATAAAACTTCTTTTTCATGTATATATGTTTATGTAGACATAGAAAATATGTAAATTTATAGAAATGGATAACTGTTAGACTTGAAGAACAAGTGGGATGAGGATAAAGAGGAAGGCAAGTCCTTGAGGAAAAATGCTTTTGCTTCTATAGGTTTTAATATTTTTACTTACTTGTTTTATCATCATAGTAACTTACTTGAAAATATTGCAATATATTGAGAACCCTTGTATTGTTACAGCTTTTTATGCAGATTGAAGCTCTCTTCCCACAAAAACTTGGAACGTGGACCGAGTATGCTAAAAGATACTGCGATGCACATGTCAGGTAGGATGTCTGTGTTCTGTAAGCTTTGATATGGATATATTTATTCTGAACATTAAACACTGTTATCCATTCCTTGTTCCAATGATTTTCAAACCTGTGGTAGTTGTGAAATAATTTCTTTAAGGAAAAGCTTGTGTGGGTGACCTACATATAAAATAAACCAACCAAAAAAATAGCTGGGCATGGTGGCACATTCCTTTTAACCTCAGCACTTGGGAGATTAAGGCGGGAAACTTGCTAGATGCCAGGCTCAGTAACATAGTAGGACTTTATCAAGGATGAATGAAAACATGCCTGTTCTTAAACTGAGTATGTTGAGGCATGTTGTGCTGCTCATCATTTGACTGTGTGGATTGTCAGATTTAGATGTGACTGCTTTGGAGTCACAGTGATGAGGTGTGTGGAACTTCAGTGTCCGCCAGTCTAGGGGCCTTTCTGAACTATTTCTTATTGTGTGTTGTGGTATTTCTATTTTATGAAACTATCTTCACTCAGAGTTTCAGACCCTTGTAATCAGAGTTAAGATTCTTCATACATAATTATTCTGTTTGTCATGATTGCAGATATTGATAAAATTCCCTTAATCCTGACTATTGCACTGGAGATATCAAAGTTTGTCTATATAATATATGTTTACTGGGTTTTCCTTTGGGCAACTAGAAAAGTCAGAATGTTCAATCTTTTTGTCTGTCTGTCTGTTTCTTGGTTTGTACCTGTCATACAACAACTGAAGTATGTATCTCACTTAATAATGCAAACACTATTTCAAACAGATTCATCTTAGTGAAATGTGTGGTGGTAGAGATTGAGTCATTTTCTATTTGTTAAATAAAGCTATTTCTTTCTTTTTCTTTCTTTCTTTCTTTTTTTTTTTTTTGGTCTTTTTGAGACAGGGTCTCCCTGTAGCTCCAGCTGACCTGAACTCATTATGTAAACCAAGCTGGCCTTGAACTCACAAAGATCCGCCTGCCTCTGCCTCCCAAGTGCTGGGACTAAAGGCGTGCACCACCATGCCTAGCTCTTTTGGGTCTTTTTAAGACAGGGTCTCCCAGTAGCCCCAGCTTGCCTGGAACTCACTATGTAGACCAGGCTGGCCTTGAACTCACAGAAATCTACCTGTCTCTGCCTCCTGAGTGCTGGGATCAAAGATGTACACCACCATGCCCAGCATTAATAAAGCTATTTCAAGATTAATATTGGGCTTCTAAATGACAATTTCTTGCTTTTTATTTTTAATTTGTGTGTGTGTGTGTGTATACATGTGAGTGTGTGGTGTGTGTGCCCTTGGGGGCCAAAATAGGTCATCAGATCCCCTGGAGCTGAATTTACTGGTGGTTGTGAGCTGCCCCACATGGGTTCTGAGAATCAAACTACAGTTCTCTGAAAGAACAATTCATACTCCTAACTGCTTAGCTATCTCTCCAGTCTCTCCATGGCATTTTCTTCCACATTCCATTTCAAAAGTGTTGTTAGTCCTTTATTTCTTTACCTTGAAAGTACTCTGGCTCCCTATGCTTTGATTCAGATCAAGGCATTTCCTGGCATTTTAAGTTAGCCTGTGGGATGATGTATTTTCTTCCATAGCATTTTTAGTCTGGAAAGGTGTCATTTTCACACTATAATTTTGCAGAATTCAAATTGAGGATTGTTATTTTGTCTTAGACCCATATTTTATATTTGAAATGTCACGGCTGCATTCAAAATAGTTAAGTGAAGCTCAAGCAAGAATGTTACTTTGTCTTTAAAAAGCTTATTAAATTTCTGAGTAATGGCATGCAGAAGTATGTAAATGTGAATGTAGTCTGAGGAAAGAACTCCAGGTATAAGTAACCACATACTACATACTCATTTTGATTTGAGAGGCACAGAGAAAAGGACTACTCAACCAGGATACCCCTATCCAAAATGCCATCTGTCAGTCACTCTACTGGATTATTTTTAGAGGAAGCTATAAATACAAATAGAATTTGGAGAAGGAAGTACACTGAATGACTGATCAATTTTTCCTGCTAGGAAAGGTTCGGAACTCACTCAGTCCCCCTGGGCAACTTGGTAAGCTAAGTGGCTTACCCTGTATCTTGCTGTTTTCTTTTGCTTTTTTTTTTTTTTATCCATTTTTCCTGGCAGTTTGAAAATTTAAGAGATGGCAACTTTGACAAATATTCCTTTACTTATGAAAAGAAGACACATGGGTAATTCATCATCTCAGGAACTACCTTTTAAAAGGTATGCTTTGGAGCTGGGCACTTGGGAAGTGGAAGTGAATCTCTGTGAGTCTGAGGCTAGCCTGGTCTACATAGCAAGCTCCAAGCCAGGCATTACTACATAGTGAGACCCTGTGTTTTTTTTATAAAAAGGGGAAGGAGTTGTACATTCGGAAAGCATATCTGTTCTCTGTTGTTTTGGGCTTAAAGGTTAACAATTCCCAGGAAGAGCTGAGAGAATTGCTTGCTTCCCATGGGCAAGGTCCTAGGTTCAATCTTCACAGTGGTAAGAGCTCAAACTTCGTGCCACTTCTACTACTAAGGAGAGGGAGAAACCATTGTCTAAATTTTCATGAGAAGGAAATGCTAAGTGATAATGTACAGTCAATATAGTATAGCCAGTCTTAGCACCTCTGCATATTCCCCAGCACAGTGTCACTTGGTGCTCTACCACTGGCTAAATACAGAGTATGTCTTCCATGTGCAGAAGCTCAGAACTCAGAGGAACAGTATTGGAGGACTTGGAGAATATATCAATAATTCAGACCCAAATGACTTCTCATTTTGAATGATCATAGATTGAGTTGGCATAACGGGTCATTCCACTCCACTTACTGCCTCAAGTTTGATTATGAATTCATGCATTCATGCATTCATTCATTCATTCATTCATTCAGAAAAACAATTTTTTGGTTGTCTGATATATGCGACATCAGATATGATCCAGGGGTCAAGACCCACACGATCTCATCCTTCACCGAATTGTCAAGCCCAGCACTAACTATAATTACAGTTCTGGTGAATGTCAGAAGGGAAGTGGAGGATGTTAATGCCTGAGCTTGCCAGAGTAAACCATTAAAGACAGGGCCCAGGAAATCCTAGGAGTAACTGTTTCCTTGCTTTTCGGAAAGAGGGAAATTCTATGTGCTAAGGTCCAAAGCAAGAGAGACTGTTGTGCCTTTGAATAGCTAAAACAAGTTCAGTTCAAGCAGAATATTCTAGAGCTAAAACAAGTTCTCTAGACAAAGAGTTAGGTAGGGGTTAGACAATGACAGAGTTGGATAGGTGTCATTATTACAGTCTTGTTCATCATCAGAGAGGTGATAGGAAGATGTGTAGGTATCTTCTGTTTTTCTGGTTTGGGGAAGGCCATTGCTGTTGTGGTTTTTTATTGCAGTAAAAATGTATATATAACAAAATTTATTATTTATCCATTTTTAAGTGTATTGTTGAGTAGCTTTAAGTACATTCACATTTTTGTGCAACTGTCATAACTTTCCATCTCTAGCACTTTTTCATTAACTAAGCTAAAATTCTATACACATTCAGTAGTGGGTAATCTCTATCCTCTTTTCACTCAGCATCTGCAGTGTGAGGTTATAAAATGTTGGAGAGTTCAATTTATAAGTTTCTTTTTTTTTTGGAGACAGGGTTTCTCTATAGCTCCAGCTGGCCTGGAACTCACAGAGATCCACCTGCCTCTGCCTCTCAAGTGCTGGGATTAAAGGTGTGTGCTACCACACTTGGCCCATGTTATTTTTTTTTATTTTGTTATTTATATTTTGTGTGTACCAGTGTATTGCCTGCATGTATGTGAGAGCACCCATGCCGTGCAATGCCGCAGAAGTCAGAAGAGAGCTTCGGATTCCCCTGGAACTGGAGCTAAGGACAGTTCCTAGCTGCTATGTGGGTGCTGGGAAACGAACCCAGGTCCTCTGCAAAAGCAGTCAGTGCTCTTAACTGCTGAGCCATCTCTCCAGTCCCTCTTTGTTATTTTTAAAAAATATTTTAATTATTTTTATTTTATGTATGTGAGTATATTGCCTGCATGTGTGTAAGTATACCCATGTTGTGCAATGCCCGTGGAGCCAGAAGAGGGTGTTAGATTGCCTTGGAACTCGAGTTATGGACGGTTGTTAGCCACCATGTGGGTGCTAGGAATCAAACTCAGGTACTCTGCAAGAGCATCCAGTGCTCCTAACTGCTGAGCCATCTCTTCAGCCCCTCTTTGTTATTTTTTAAGACTATATTTACGCAGTTCAAAATCCTAAACCATTAGATTATATAGACTGACAGAAAATCCCTTCCACCTAATTACCCTCTCTATAGAAAATGTATGTAAGTACTATTAATAATATTTCTACATAGAAACCTTGTGCATGTTCAAGCAAATTCATATTTTGGGGAAAGAGATTAGTATATTATAAACATAAACATTTTTATATTTTTGTCTTTTGACCCTTTTTGTATACATAAATAATCTTATCCTTTTATAGGTGAATGGCATATTGTTGAGATTACACTCTAATTTCAGGGATGCCAGATGGTTGAAGGAGTTTGCATAGTTGAGTGGCATGTTATTGGGATTATACCATAGTTTCTGTGGTGACAGGGACTCGAGGGATTTTGCATCTCATGACACTTTTTTGTAAAGGAGAAGGTTTGTCATGTTCAGAGAAATGAAGAAGCAGAGGGATAAAATTAAGAAATTTGACATGGTCTAGACTGCCTAATGGGGACTGAAACAATGAGATGGTGTAGCAATAATGAGATGGTGTAGGCTTATTAACAGTGCTTAGTGGCCATTTGAGCTCAGCAACACAGTCTTCTCTAAGGTGTATTTCCACAGCACTGTGGTGTACAGGCCTAAAGTATGCCAAAGTCAGACTTGTCTAGGATTGGATTTTTTGCACCAGTTTATAATAGGTTCATGGGCCAAAGGACAAGGAGATTTAGTCATGTTGGTGAGACTCAGAAATCAACATGGGCAACAAAGGATGTGAGGTCAGGAAGGAT